GATTTCGCTATAAATTCGCAGATGAGGTACCTAACATCCTGATCGCAAGTATGCATTTGGCGCGGTATTGCCATACTGTAGGGTTATGGTAGGCTGAGGCAAAGTAGTCAAGGTCAGAAATTGGCTGAAAAGTAGTTCACTGGAGCTTGAAAGGCACTTGCAGTTAGCATGTCCAGCAACCTCTTTGTGAGAGTCCAAGATTGAAATTTTTGGCGATATTAGGAATGGCGCTAAAAGTTTAAACGTTAGTGTTTTCTGAATTGGAAAGAAACGAGCTAAAAATGACACTTTCAATGTAAATCCACACTCTACATAAGAACGCATTACGAATGTCGAAATTGTGGCCAAAATGTCATCCAGACTGATAATCGTGATATGTTGAAACAATATTCAGCAAACTCTTCTGCTAGAGCTCGTATGTACACCTATAAGAGCAACGCAGCAGCAGGAAAAACAACAAGCATGTATTTATGATTAATCCAAAAACAAGGAAAAAATATTTCGCAAATGCTCCAATATAAGTTTCCATTCGATTCCAGCAGAAAACTGAATTATTAGACAAGGACGAAAGAGATCAGCAGATGAATATTTCTGCCTTCGATAACCTCGTAGCGCTAAACTTGGTGGCGAAAAGCAAGCATTTCTCTACTTACTTTGGAGTTTCAAAATTCCTACTCAATTAAAACATGAAAAATCATAGCCAAGTTGTGAAGTTTCTAATCTTCTCAAATATAAAATGGATGGAACTACGTATTAATTCATGCGACCTAACCCTTATCCTGCAGAATTTACTATCAGTACATGTAACTCAACCTCGCTTTTTAAGAGCGCAAAACAAAATTCGAAAAAAAGCATAGAAAAAACAAGAGTCAAGAGTGGATGATTAAGGGTTAATAATTTGTAGTCAAATTTCTATATCACTACTACGAGCGCAAAAAATTCGAGAAAGACATAGAAAAGGCAAGAGTTAGGAGTGGATGATTTAGGGTTCATAATTTGTGGTCAAATTTCTATTTTGCTATTTTGAGCAGAAGGAAATATCAATATTTCTCGAGTGAAAAAAACCACTTGATGCGCAGAGTGAGGTGAATATAAAGTTGAAAAATTTAGACACAACCATATAAACACAGCCGCTATAAGCAGGATATGAAAACAATAACTCATTCGCAAATAGATGAATTTCTGGATGAAGCCTGATCGCTGCGAACTCAAAGAGATGATGAACAGAGGAATTCAACAAACGATGAAAGCATACTCACTGCTGTTAAACGCAGATAATCTCTTATAAATATGGAGGTTGACTCTTGAAGCTTTATACAAAAGCAAATTACGAAGACACAAAGTACAAGTAGTATAGAGTATCTGAGAGATGTAATAGCATAACTACATGACACAAAATGGATATAAGAAGATAAGTGAGTTAGGTTGCAGAAGTTTACACAGTTCATCAATGTTTAAGAATGAAGAAACCAATACTACGTGTGCGTAATATAAGACTGAGATTAACTGCAAATCGCATTCGGATTTATACTAAAGGCATGAGATACAAGTTATCACTACCAGAATAAAACTATCCCAATGCAACTGCATTTAAAGCAATGATGCACATGACATAAAGCGAATAAAAATTATTATGTAACTGAGATTGTTTGCAGATCGAAAAATTAAAAATTCTAAATATGAAGATATTTTCTGGATTAGTTTCAATTTTTTGA